CGAACTCGGAACTACTTAAACTCGAGAAACACGGAGTTTTATCTTCCCTATCTTATCTCTCGTTGTCGGCGTCTCTTGTCTTTTCCAACAACCCCTGTCACTGTCAAGTCATGGAGCCTCCAAGCCCCAACAAGCGACCTCGCAGTCGCCGAGTCCATAGCGTTTCTTCCTCCTCAGGCCAAAGCCCTAACCCTTCTTCCCTCCCTAGCGATATAGTTCGCCACCAGAATCGCATCAATCGGTTGATCTCCTCTTTGCACGACTTGCCTTCGTCATCTTCGTCGCAATCCGATAGATGCTCATTGGAACGAGCGCTTGATGAACTGCTCGAATCTTATGTTCATGAATCCGATGAGGATCTTCTCCAACTCGACCCGCTTCTGCGTGAGTCCATCAAAAGATGCTCTCGAAGACGCGACACTATCCACAATTCCATTTCCTGGCCTCTCCCTATTGACATCACCATCGAGGTAACAAATCGCGACCTCGTCCTGTGTTATTGAGCCTATAGATCGAGATCCATGTTTTAGGGTTTTGTTCCTCTTGTTTTTTTTGTTTCTCACGTAATACTTGTGGATATACTTGTTCAAAAGATTAAAGCGAATTGGGATTCTCAGATTGTGTATTGAATGATGTTCCATATATTTAAGCAAATTAGGTTTCTGAGATTATGCATTGAATGACGTTGCAAGCAAAAAGTCAAATATTAATGCATTTGAGGATGTCTTCTCTTGAACGATGTGTTTTGAAATGAATTATTTCAGGTGTTTTCGAGGCTTGATACAAAATCACTAGTGCAAGCTTCCGCTGGATGCACGATGTTTAGAGGATGTGCTACGAATCCTATATGTTATGCCAACATTGATTTGACAGCCAAAGATGTTAACGATGGAGTTGTACACAAAATGCTACTTACCGCTGAAAAAGAACTCAGGTAAGATGTTATGTCTTCATGTAACCCAAATCTTCTTGTTGTCTTGTCCCTCCGTTTTTTTTTGTGATGCAAGTGTATTTGTCAATTACTTTTCAATCTAGTGTATCTAATAATCTCTCGGGATTTTGTTGATGCTGCAGATCGCTTAAAGTTGGCTGCCCAGATGAATCTACTAATTCTTCGCTTTCAGGATCTTGTCTTGCACCACTATCTTATAAAGATGGTTTTCTTGGGTATTGGCTTTATTACCACAATTCTATCTGTCCCATACATATACATTTTTTCTACTGGTTTCTCTGTCCTAATAATTTGCCTTTCTTTTTTTTTGCGTTCATCAAGGAATCTCTTGAGAAGCCTATACATTTACAATCACAAATGGTTGGAGAATGATATTTTATTCAATGTGTTGAGACACTGCTCAAATCTAACCGATTTGAAGATTGTTGGATTGTAAGTTGGACTTTCCCGTTGCTAAGCATATTCCTTGTATATGTTTGAGTTTCATGAATTCTACATTGCATTTTTTTTGGCTTTTCATCATCTATGCTTTCTATTAACTATTTGTTCATTTGTTACTTTGATGTCTGTTGATTTTAGACTCTAGTAGTTCCTCTTGTACCGTTTTGATAAAATCCAAGAATTTACGTCTTCAGTCACCAAAGAGCTACACCATAGAGAGAATTTGCCTACTTACCTAGAAGAGGAACTAAACCATAGAACATCCCTAAAACTTATCTGCATGGTTCTGAGCTTCCAAGTCTCTATACACCTCATAGGCTATTTACAACATTCATAATTAAGCTGGATTAATTAATTAACTAGAAAGCTTCATTATCACATTTTCTCACTTCTTGCAATATTTGTTTTTTCCCTGACAGGAATATTAAATTATTAGATGAGGTAATACCTTTACTCACAAGAAACCTTCAGCATCTCTACTTGGAGAAACCGAGATCTGGTAAAGTTCTTTACAATATGATGCCTTGCTTTTGTTGTCCTCCCATGTTCGCTTAAGCTGACCTTAATGTGTAACAGGTGGATCGAGTTTTAGACGTGGTTCGTCCTTTGTGAGAAACTGCCCCAACTTAGTTTCATTATCACTCATAGGTTTTGAAATAGGTGAAAGAATGGGCTGCATTCTTTTTAAGGTATGGCTATTTTAAATTTGAAGCTTATCTTAATGTTTTGTTACAAAAATGTCGGGATACTTTTTTTTGCAGGGTTTCCGTAAACTCAAGTATTTGAACCTAACCAGAGCTGGTGATATCAAAGGAAACTTTTTGAGGTTTATGTTGTCTGAGCAAATAATTAATGACTAAGTATGTTTCTGTTAGCAAAATATTTTATTTTTCTTATGGTGGTAGGGATGTGACCGAAGACTTTGTGCTCGAGACTCTGATTTTGAGAAATTACACTACTGTAACAGAGGTAAAAATAATTTAACATAACACAGTTTTGTCTCTTGTCGTTGCATCTTCTCATATTAATATCACAATATTGACTCTTTGAATCACTGATATCCAGAGAAGAGTTAGACGATTTTTCGATTCAATACTCTCAGGGTAGTTCAGATTCATTCGATACATTGTAAGTTGTTGATAGGACATCCTATTTTTTGGTAAAAATTTGCTGGATCACAAGTGATTTACTCATCATCTTTTTCTTCAACAGGACCTTACATGTGAACGTAGATTACCTCACGACCACCGATACTGGAACCATACCACACCAAAGTAACTGATTTTCTATTTTATGTTTGGTTTACCATTTGATCATAATTCGGTTAATAACACATCGATTTATATGTCCATTTGTGTGTGTTGTAGGTTCTCTATGGAAGAGCTGCTAAATGCAAGACCAGATCTCCAATTGGTGGTACAGTTTAGAACTTTCTGGATGCATTCAACATTCACATCATCAGTGGAGATTCATGATGATCATCATCATAATCATCATCAGCAACATTAAGGTTGGTCAGTTTGTTAGAATTAATCTAATAAATAATTACTATGAATCGAATTTAAAATTTGTTGTTTGTAAAATTCAGTTCAGGAGATGCTTTTTTCAGTGGAGACGAGGAGGACGGCGACTTTTGACTTGCCATGATGGTCTCTCTTTTTGTTTGTTTTCTCCGTTTGTTGAAGAAAATGTTAGACAATATTCTTCTTTTCCTTTTTTGGTCATTTATGATCTAAAAAAGCATTTTATTTCTGTGGAATTATGCATTTTACTCATTATTGTTTTATTCCCCAAAGGATGGATAATTACATTATAGTTTATTTTTTGTTTGATTTTAGATATCTGTTTGCTTTATTTAACATTCCCATCATCTATAGGTAAGCCATAATTTTCTACACCCTTATTATATTATTAATTGAGAAGCAAGTTGGGCTGTGGTTGAGAATTATAATGGTTGATTATCTTTTGCCCCTTATGTGAATTTACTTTAATTACCCTTAATAAAATTAATAAATTAATATAATCTAATTTTTAATTGATTTTCGTTTTTTTAAATCTAGATTTCCAAATTCAAGTTTATATCATAAAAATATACAATTTACTAAAAAAAGGTAACTAGAATAAATAAATAAAAATCCTAATTCTTTCATTAAACTAATTTTAATTTGATTGTTTAACCTACTAATATTATGACAAACCTAATTAATTTATGCGATCATAAGTAAAACTCTAAATCATTTAAACCCTTTTAAAACTTTATATATATTAATTAATATTAAGTTGATATGAAACAATGATCATTTGGTTTTGGTCATTTTGGATTGCTATGTTTTTTTTTTAATCCAAACTTTGAATTTTATTAATCTTAATCTACTAATTTACATCAAAATAAGAGAATTATTTATCATGTTGGATAAATGCAACAAAACAACAAAGCATACCTATAATTTTTTATCGGATTATATAAAAAGTATTAAAAAATAAAGTATAAATAATATATTTTGCTTTGTCACAAAAAACCAATGATCGTATTTTTTAAATATATTAAGTTTGGTTTCAAATCATTATAAAATCTGATTTATTTTTATCTATAAATAAACTAATATTATACTTTTTAAAAAATTTAATCGAACTCCGCATAAGGTGCGGAAAACACCTAGTTTATAAAATATATAATTAACCTATTATTCCACCAAATAGTTTCCTTAGCTATGAAGCTATCTAAGTTTGTTTGTGCAAATGGAGAGAGAGAGAGAGGTAGAGTGGTTCGGTCTTCGTTTCACCTGCTCTAAGCATGATGTTGTTGCTCTCGGAACGAAATTCAAGGCACGTATGGGTTCGAAGAAGAGGCTTCAAGGGTTTTTCCAGTCGATGAAGAGAGAAAGGACTGATCAAGCCGGATGATGCTACCTTGGTTGCGGTATTATCTGCATGCGGTCACACACTCACACAGATGTAGAAAGAGTTTAGGTATTTTAAAAAATTAATTTCGTACCTTTCGTATTTACAATGTAAAAGTAATATAGTAAACTCAAGAATAGATTGGGAAAGTGTTTTAACTCTTGTAAGGTAGAGAGATTCGAACACTTAAAAGGCAACTGTTACACATAATTAACACACAAAGAAAGCTCATGATTGTTAGAGTTTTTTTAATGTCTTCAAAGGTTTGTAGTCTACAGTAAAACTTGACTAAAAAGCTATCTTGGTGCCGAAGAATAAATAAAAAAACTTGACGAAAAAGCTATCTCTTAAGGGATTTATTAATAATATTTTTTCATATATTATATATATAATAAACTCTACAAAATTATACCTAGAAAACCGATTAGGATTTTTCCAAAATAAAAGGTAGCAAATTATTTTTCCGAGGGTAAGCCGCCATATATATACATATACTCGGTGAAAAAAGTGAGTAAAAATAGATTCTATTCCCGTCAAACTTTGAAGCAAGTTCCGTGTCATGGACGCTCCAAGCCCTAAGCGACGTTGCCATGAGGGTTCTTCCTCCGTCCAAAACCCTAATTCAATTCCCAGTGCGCCAGGTTCAAATCAGAGCCACTTGGATTTGATAATCTCTTCTTTACTGTCGTTTCCAAATCCGGACTCAATGCCTTCGTTACTCTCCATCGGTCGAGTGCTCGATAAAGCTCTTGCCTCCGTTTCCTCTGTTGAGGAGGTTCAGAATAGCCTCGTCCATCATACTCTCAAACTCACGTCGCTTCTTCACGAGTCCGCTAAACGTAGCATCCGAGAGAGAGCTTCTCTTCACAATTCCAGTTCTTGGCTCCTTCCTCCAGAACTCACTATTAAGGTTATAGATTAAGCGTTTTATTGTTGAATCTTGAGAGATGATGATCTTCTAGGGACCTCTTTCTTTTCTTTGGAGCGTGTTACTTTATTGATATGTATTCACTGGAACTATGTAACCCGCCTGATTTCACCATTGATATAAACAAATTGAGTATTTCTTATATGTAGAATGATGTCTCCAACTTATTCTCGCCATTGATGTTAGAAACTAAGCAACCGTTTGTGTGTGTGTGTGTGTGTATGTTATTGAATCCAGTCTCATGTATCAATTGTGTCTTTAATGCAAACTTTAGGTGTTTTCGAAGCTTGATACAAAGTCTCTAATGCAAGCCATGGCATGCTGCAACATGTTCCACAAATGTGCCAAGGACCCTGCATCTTACTCTCACATCAACTTGACCTCTGCCAGAAAAGTTGATGATGGAGTTGTTTCTACCTTGATCAATCGGGCTGGAAAGGAACTCAGGTGATGCTTTTATCTACTCACTCAAGAAATAACTATGGTTCTAAATATATATGCTAGCATCTAATCTTAATTATCTACAAGATGATCACACTAATCGTCAGCTTTCTAAGAGTTGTGTACTTTTTTCTAAGAGTTTTTGTTGATGATAATAACTATGGTCCCTACCGTTGTTTGTTAAACTTGGTTTGTGTAATTTTTTCTAAGAGTTTTTGTTTATGCATGCAGATTCCTTGAAATTGGACATGTTGATGGCCAATCTAAATCTAAGACACCACATTTGCTTAACGGATCTTGTCTTGCCCCACTTTCCCATAACCATGGGTTTATTGGGTATTTGTCTTTTTATATTATCAATCAATTTGAATTTTCAGTATCAAACTTAGTATTATAATTATAATAAACGTGTGCATTTTTAATCTTGGTATCATCTTTTCCCATTGAACTAGGAAATACTTGAGAAGCCTACACCTTTACGATGTCAGATCTATAACCGACAACCTCTCCATTGACTCGTTGTCAGCTTGTTCCAATATCACTGATCTGAAGATGGTTGGAGTGTAAGTTATCTTAATTCGAATGTTAGTGTCTGCTAAATCCACTATGCAATGTTTTTAATTAACGTCATATTTTCCGCGTTTCATGTGACAGGTATAGCCCAAGTGAGAAGCTACTTAAGTCACTCGCAGTAAAATGCCGATTCATAGAGCACCTGTTCTTCGAGACCTATGGATCCAAAGGTAAAAATCTTTCACACCGTGAAGCTTAACTCCCCTAATCTATATATGTTTAACTCGAGCTTATATACCTTTCTGTGTACGTAATAGGTGCATCGAGAAAAGATTCATCAGCCTTGGCAGTTCTTTTAACAAACCTCCCAAGCTTAACCTCGTTAACACTCATCAATCTTAGACTAAGAGATGCAACAGTCCAAACTCTTGCTAAGGTATTTGACTAGCTCCATCTGTTTTTATTCTTTTTTTTCTTTCGTTTCTTCCTTTGTTACCATTTATGCTTTATCTGCTTTTGCAGGGTTCTCGTAAACTCAAGCACTTGAATCTTTCTAGAAACTCAATAGTCAAGGGTTGCTTTCTAAGGTTCATATATGTTTGCTTCTTATCACAATGTTAATAACGCTTTTTCCTCCTAATTAAGTGTTTATTAGCAAAATTTCTCATTTTTTGATTGGGTATAGGGAATCGGGACATTGCTTACAAGACAGTGCACTCGAGACTTTAATATTGCGAGACTGCTCTTCTCTAGAGGAGGTAATTAAAATGATTAAAACCAATAAACATATTTATTTGGTTTATGCATCACTATCTTAACTATCTCACATTTACTGACATTGTGATTACAATATTTTCAGAAAGAAGTTTTGCAGTTTTTTGATTCACTACTCGCAGAAAACTTCAGATTCATTAGGCACATTGTAAGTTATTATAGAAATTTTGGTTGATTTGTTTTAGAATAAAAGACAATACAATTACTTTGTTTACCACTCATAATCGTATTGTACTCTTTGGTCTTGTTCTACAACAGGACGTTTCAAATAGCCGAGGCTTGTTGTCTGATGACGGCAAAAGATCTTGCAAACCAAAGTAACATATTTGATTGTTTCACTTTTGACATATAATTTGGAATCAAAACTCTGTTTGCTGACATTGTTGTTGCTGTGTGTGTGTGTTTTAGGTTTCCTCTAAAGAAGCTGAAGAAAGAAAGACCAGATGTCAAAATTGTGGCAAATTTTAACCCTACTTTATCAAGGTTCCATCAGTTTATCAATATTTGTTAATTTTTAGGCTTTTAAGTTTTTAACATAATCATCAAAAGTAATTGAAATTTAAACTGGTGGGGTTTGTGTTTGTAAAAACTCAGATCACAAAAGCGTTCTCAAGGCAACGATGCAGAAGTCCAAATAAATGAAGTCGGGGAGTAGGATGACGATAACTAGACTTGTCAACTTTTGATATATTTGATTTTGCATCCTTTTTTTTTTCATACACGAACTAAATCTTTTACCATTTTGGTACATCAATCTTTTGCATATCCAAAAAAATACATTAACTTTGTATTTTTATTTTTTTTCCAATGTAATTCAGCAGCTTTTAACCGTTCCTCCATTTTTACAATATAACGCGTTGCCAAAAAATTCAATGTGTTATTTGGTTGTCAGAGTATATAATTTCAACTCTCGTATTTAATCAATATAACAATAACCCATAAGTCTCTCCATGTATTGACAATTCAGCTTTTTGTGTTATTAGAAGCTGACACATCAGCAAAATATTGAACCAATTAAAACATTTTATTAATACACTTCATCTCAATATTTTAACACATATGCAAATTTTTTTTTTTTTTATCATCAAAATCTTTCATTAATAAAATCCAATATGGACAGTACATAGAAATTGAAGTCCAATATTATTACTTTTGGGATAACTGCAAAATTAACCTTCATTATATCAATGACAAAAATTAAAACACACCATTTTTAATAATATACTACGTGTTGTTTTATAATTTTTAATTTTTTAAAATTTTTTAAAAAGAACAAACTGAAACTCATTGTATATTATCGACATCTTCTTTTTCTTTTTCCTTATCATCATCTTTTTCGTCCATCTTCTTCAATTATTTTAGAAATTATCTAATTAACCTAATTAATTGATAACGTTTATTGGCAAACAAACCTAAAATTCTAATGAATCAATTAATATTGCTATCTCATCAAACTCACGATTTCACTTCTAAGATTTTAACTTTGTGGCAACTTTGTGGGGAAGAAGGATTTTTTAACCATGAATCTATTCAGGAGATATGGTGGTTCTCGAAAGAGTTTGAAAAAGATATTCAATTGATGATGAATTTTCTGAAAGTTGAAGCTTTAAAGTGGTAAAGCTTTGTCCCTGATGCTAAAAAAAGATGAGATATCCAATTACAGTAACACCAAATGTAGTTTAAGTTGTATTTAGGCTTGCGTTTAATACTTTAATGTTTTGGGCATTTGTATTTGGGTGTTACTCATGTACCATATATGTCATATGGCTTATTAATAAAACTATATCTAAATATAGTGTGAAGTTTGAAGGTTTGATATATACATATAAATGTGACTAATGTTTAGGTATGATAATGTTAATGTTTACATGTTTAAAGCAAAGATATGAGAAAAAGTAAAAAATCCAGAAAATTATGTTGTCTACATATTGAAATTAAATAATTTTTTTATACTTTAACAAAGAGAGAGTGCACCAAATTTTAATTAATTATCAAAAGAATGAGTATTTTTTAATCAAGTTATTGTATACTTATGAATGAATATTTGAAAGTGTATTAAGTTTTTGAAAGCAAATATATTATGTTTAAAGGTATCAGAGATCTGATCGAAAAAGTTGCCAACTGCCTAAGTCTCGACCAGTGACTATGATTCAATAGATGAAAGAAACACTGATATGATTTGGAGAATGGGAGGAATGTCGACATTGTGAAGCCATTTTCGTAGTTGCTAGACTTGTTTCTAGCATATGCGAGAGAAGAAGAACTGAAGAAATATAAAATTATAAGATCTGAGGTCAATTAAATACAAGCTTCAAACATTTGACATGGTTATTTGATTTCTTTTGATATATTTTGTAGCTTTTTTTAATTTCTAGAGCTCAAGATAGCGATATGGTCAATATATAAACTTAAGCTATAGTAAATATGTAAGTTAATGTGAATTGTTGTTTCATTTGTGGTTTTTTACTAAATATTTTTTTAATGCTAAAGAAATATTAATGTTAAAATAATTATTTTAGTTAGTGTAAGAAAACATGCATTAAAAGTTTCATAAATAAAAATATGAATATAACCTGCGAGTAGAAAAATTTATGATCATAAGTAAACTTATAATAGTAAAATGTGTTTTTTAGTTTTGGTTGAAAAATGCGATTTCTCGATTTTAACTGAAAATATGATTTTACCAGTTTAGAAAAAAATACAATTTTTCAGGTTTCGTTAGAAAAGCATAATTTGTGGTTTTTCGAAAAATATGATTTTAGGTTTTTTTATTATTTTAAAATTTAAGAGTATTTTAGTCATTTGTCATTTCGAACTGAAACATCTCCATCAAGATGGTCCAATTTTGGTTCATTCATATAATTCTCATAAATTTATCTAAATCTTGAAAAATCATTTAGATAACTCATCTAAATATTTTTTGATTTTGTTACAAAACAAACAAAATTCTCATTTTTATTCAAATGAACCATATAAATGGAAAAATAAATAGGGTGTAAATCCAAAACTTATGCTAAATAAAAAATAAAAATAATATTTATTTATACTGTAAAAAATAACTTTTTATTTTAAAAATATATAAAATTTAGAATAATATCCCGCAGTATAGCGTGAGCAAATACCTAGTTGGCTATAAATTATAAACAGTATAGAAAATAGAGAGTATTTGCAATGCAACATTAGTTTGGAAAGTATTAGAAAAAGATGGAATCTGGATTTTTTTTTTTAATAGATTCTGTCACCACCTTATAGTTTGATAATAAAGAAATTGTTTGTCGAAAAAAACACAAAATTTCATAATTTTAAATTAACTGGTTTACCACATTAATTTTCTAGCAATAGTGTTGGTGAGTCATTTAACTGCGAATTAAGAGTGTTATAGAAGAGTAGATAAAAAATACTTCATTCGTTTCAAAATAAATATTACTTTTACATATTTGTATATATTTTGTTCATACATAATATAATATTCTTTTTCTAATTAAAACAGTAAAAATCTAAGGTAAACATTAGATATCTATTTAAAATTATGTATTAAAAATATAAAATAACATTTTTTGTAAAATAAAAATAAAACTTTAGAATATACTACTTATTAACGAAGAAAATATCACATACGAAACAATTTTTAGATTAATAGAACTTTTTGTAGTGAAGAAACAAAAACATTTATGGTTTAAAATTGTTTTCTATTTTAATTACCTATTCATTATTGCATACCTAATAAGTTATCTATGTGTATGATGAATAAACAATTTTCTTTCACGTTGCAAAATCATTAAACACGAACACAGAAAAATATCCATAAGAAATATAGTTTTTTTATATAGAAAGAAAAAAGCCCATGAGGTTTGGAGGCGGAGCCATTTTAGCTGGGCAACAAAATGGTGGAGAAGACACTTTCAACGTTTGGTTTCATGGATTCTCCGAATCACACTCAAAACCCTAGTTTGGCCCCTGATGTTCCAGGCCTCAGCCAGAGCCACGCCGATTCGATTATATCATCGCTCCTTTCGTTTCCGGAATCCTCTCTGATCTCCATTGGATCCTCCTTCGATCGAGTGCTCGATAAAGCTCTCGCCTCCGCTTCCGGCGATGTCTCCGTTCAGGATTGCCTCGTCGACCGTACCCTCCAGCTCGCGTCTCTCCTTCTAGACTCCACTAAACGATGCTTCCGGAAACGAGCTTCTGCTCACAATTCCAATTCCTGGTTCCTCCCTCCCGAACTCACCGTTAAGGTTAACAAATCTGGAATTTCTCACACTTTTTTTTCTGAAATTAAAGCGTTCTGGTGATTCTCAAATGGTGCATTGTTCGTGGAAACCTGATCCTCTTCGTTGTTGAACCCATCGTGACGAGATTTTTGAGGATAAGCTCTGTTATCTTGAGTGGTTTCTCGATTTTTTTTCAGGTGTTTTCGATGCTTGATACAAAGTCTCTAATGCAAGCGGCGGTTTGCTGCACCATGTTCAACAGCTGTGCAATGGACCGTTCATCTTACGCCCACATCGACTTGACAAGCGCTACCAAACAAGCTGACAATGGAGTTGTTTGTACTATGATCCACCGGGCTGGAAAAGAACTTAGGTGAGAGTTTTTGAGTCTACATTCAGTGAGATTGGATCGTTTTCTCATGGTTTCTTGAACTTTGGTCTATGTTTATGCATGTAGATCCCTCAAGCTTGGTCGTGTTGCTCGCTCAGATGGATCTGATTCTACTCCATCTTTGGTTCCAGGATCTTTTCTTTCCCCACTATCCTATAACCATGGTTTTCTCGGGTATGGCTTGATTATCAATTTGAAAAAGAAAAGAACATGTTGAGTATGGTTTCGTTAGATAGGAAAGAAACTAGAGGAAGAGGAAGATCCCAATACAATCTCATTATGGCTAATGCTTTGGGAACAAAAGAAAGTACTCGAAACCAAGAATCAAGCCTGAGAGCAATCAAGAGAGTACCTCTTATTAATGTCTTGAAATCTTCCATTCGGCTGTGCATTTAGAAGTGATTTAGAAATCTCTATCACTACCGTACACTTAGAATGATTTCACTGGTTTCTTGCTTAAGAAATTGTTGTGCTATCAACATAATCTTCTAATTTGACATTATCCTTCTCCATTCAACCAGGAGTCGCTTGAGAAGCCTACGGCTTTACAATATCAGACCGATGAACTACAATTCCTTTACCGAGGTGTTGTCAGTTTGTTCAAATCTCGCTGATCTGAGGATTGTTGGCTTGTAAGTTTTCTTGGAGTGCCTGCTTGTTTATTTTGAGTTTGTGCAGGGGAGACATCATATTGTCATCTTCTATTCTTTAGACTGTTTGTTTTGCTATTTTAATGTCTGTCGACTTTAAGTTCTGCAAATTACGTGTGCAGAGTGTTCCCTCACTTTTTGTATTATTCTTTGTTTCATGTGACAGGAATAGTCCATTTATGCATCTATTCACGACCCTGGCAAGAAAATGTCGTCTGATAGAGCACCTGTGCTTAGAGACCCATCATCTCCTAGGTAAAGCTTTTCCATTGTGAAGCTTCTTGTTTTGTTTACTCCCAGGTTTTTTCTCAAGCTTACCTAATGTGTAACAGGTACCATCGACGCTAAAAAAGGTTCACCCTTGGTAGAGTTCGTGACCAACTCTCCCAACTTAACTTCTCTAACGCTCATATCTTTTCGACTAACCGATGAGCTGGCTCGAATTCTTGCTCAGGTATGGCTTATGTTCGATTTTTTCTTGGTATGTCTTCTCTCTTCACTTCTATTATGCTTTTACAGAACCTCAAAAATATGGATGTTATTTGCAGAGTTCTCGCAAACTCAAGAACCTGAATTTGTCCAGATCGCCTACAATCAAGGGTCGTTTTTTGAGGTGAAAACACACAAAAATGTTAATAGCGTAATTTCCTCCAAAAGTCCTTTATCCTTATTAGCAAAATTTCACATAGCACGAAAATATTCTTGGTAGGGATTTGGGACATAGCTGCAAACTCAAGACTCTAATATTGCGCAACTGCCCTTGTCTAGAGGCGGTAAAAGATTAAATCATAACACGTTTTTGGTTGTTTCCATCAATCTCTGGTCTCACACTCACTGTCCTCGATATTTTCAGAAAGAAGTCTTGGAACTCTGTAATTCACTGCTCAAGAGAAACTTCAAATCCATTCAACACATTGTAAGTTCTTGTGCCAAATTCTCTATGGATGAAGTGTATAACCTGGTTTACTCTTCTTAACCGTCTTCTTCTTCATGGTTTACTCTAATAGGATGTTTCAAATAACAGCGGCTTAATTTCTGATGAAGGCGGGAGATGTTTCAAACCAAAGTAACCGGTTGATCCTTCATTGTTAACGTTGTTGTACCAATTTACTCGGTTCATGTCGTACTAATAGGAGTTATATTCCAAAAATTGTTCTGTGTGTGTGTGTGTTGTAGGTTTCCTCTGGCGAAGCTGAAAGAAGAAAGATCCGATATCACATTTGTTGCGGATTTTCCGTTAGCAAGGTCTTGTTCATCGATGACTATTATTAAAGTAATCATCTTAGAAAAAGTTTGATTAAAGGAATCAGAGAATAAAATGGGGTTTGCGTTTTTGTATAAATTCAGGTCAGGTAAGCGTTATCGCGTGTGTGATGAAGTGGATGAAGAAGAGTTGAGGCTGATAGAGATGATGGTGGAAGCCGTGAACGATGGAGTGAATGAAGATGACTCTGACTTTGAGGATGATGATGATGATGATGATGACGCAAGTGAAGATGACTCGGACGATGATGAGAATCTTTATTGATGATGAGAGAGTCGTCGAATATGATTTAACGATGACCAATTGTGGTTTGTCTGTTATCCAAAATATCCGGGACGACCGGTTTACTCTCCCTGATCCGTTTTAAATCTTAAGTCTGTTACAAGGACTATATATATTGGTAGAGACTTCTGTGTCACATTTATTAGATTTTAAAAACAAAAGACAAAATCCAGCGATAGATTCTGTGCGAGAAAATTCGATCCCAAACCCTAAACTCTTGTAACGGTGCTTGTCGTCGTCGTCATGGATACTCCAAACCCTAAGCGACGTTGCTATGATGTTTCGTCCTCCATCCAAAACCCTAATTCCCTTCCTATCGATTCGATCATCTCGTCACTACTTTCGCTGCCTGACTCGTCTTGCATCGGTAGCTCATTCGATACAGTGCTCGGTCGAATTCTCTCCTCTGCTTCCGGTGATGACTCCGATCAGGACCGTATCATCGACCGCACTCTCAATCTCACCTCGGTTCTTCACGAATCAGCCAAGCGCTTCGCCCGGAACCGCGTCGCTCTCAAAAATTACGTTTCTTGGTCCCTCCCTCATGAACTCACCATTAAGGCAAACGAATCTCAAACCTACTTACTTACGTTGCCCTTAAGGCATTTTTCTCTGATGGCGTTTTAATGGATGCGTTCATGTTTAAGCAATTGAGAGGATTAGTTACTTTTTAGATAGAATGTTTTAGGGCTTATTTTTGTTTTCTTTTATAACTTGTTTGGGGGGTTTATGGATACGCTCCCTTGAGATATCTCATGCTATGTTTGTTATGCAGAGTCAAATATTTTCTTGAGTGATAGTCTTACATACTTTTTTTTTTTTAATAATGCATATTGAACAGATCTTTTCGATGCTTGATACAAAGTCTCTAATGCAAGCTGCGGCTAGTTGCACCATGTTCAACAAATCTGCAATGGACCCTTTATGTTACTCCCACATCGACTTCATCAACACGACTATCAAACGCGTTAAAGACGATGTTGTGCGTACCATGATTCATCGTGCTGGCAAGGAACTCAGGTGAGATCTTGTACTTGTAGATATGCTTTGTGGGTTCAATGATATCGATGGGCAAAAAATCTTACCTTCTTCTTCTTCTTTTATTATTGCTTTTGGGTTTTCAACTTGGTTTACACGTTACCATCTCTTATGGTTTCTTTTTACACACATGCAGATCCCTTAAACTCGGTCGTATCACTCGTCAAGTCATACCTTCGCTTACAAGCTCTTGTTTGACTGGGTATTTTATGTTTTACCGGTTTCTTTATACAATTGATACTAATTTCTGTACCAAACCTGTTGTTTCAATCTGATTATAAGCGTCTGTATGATTTGATCTACTGATTGAAATTATCTTCCCTCTCCATTTAAAACTAGGGATCTCTTGAGAACCTTATACCTATATCTGGATTACACGGGCACTAAGTCCTTATGCGATGTGTTGTCAGCCTGTCCAAATCTCAGTGATGTGCAGATTATCAGTGTGTAAGTTGTTTGACATCTTCTTGTGTTTTATTGTTTGTCTTGACTTTAATTTCTCTGATCATTATATTCATAATGGGACCTTCTCTCATTTTCTTCATTATCTCGTGTTTCAAAGTAACAAGAGACAATACCTAGAGAAGGTATTAAAGTCGCTCACTGGAAATCATCGCTCCATGGAGCACCTTTACTTAGAGAACCGTATGAACATAACTGCAACAGGTAAAGTTTTTTTCCACTGAGAATACTTTTCCTCATATGATATTCCTCTCTGGTTTCTTACCTAAGCTTCGCTAATTGATGTGTTTACAGGCTTATCTTCCTCAACACTTGAAGCATTTGCTACCTCCTGTCCCAAGTTAACTTCGCTATCGCTCATCGGTTTTAATCTAAAGGAAGAAACAGCCTTAAATCTTGCTTTGGTATTTTTCTTCTTCTTCTCTTCATTTGGTACCATCAATGGTTTACCCCCAAAGAAAATAAAAAAATTGAAATGCTTTTCGCAGGGTTTTCCTAAACTTAACGACATGAATCTGTCTAAAACACCTGGAATCAGCGGTTGGTTCTTGAGGTTTGTATCACCTGAGCAAACATTAATATCTCTTTTAAGTGTTTGTTAGCAAATCTCGATCTTATGGTAAATATCTTTATGGTTTTTAGCCATTTGGTAAATAGCGGCAGAGACAACAGTCCACTCAAGACTCTGATATTGCGCGATTGCCCTTCTCTAAATAACGTAAGTATAAAACTTCACAAGTGTCAATTTTTCATCTCATTCCAAATTAATTTCTCAAACATATATATATCTCGATATCATATGATACAGGTCGAAATTACCCATTTTTTGGAGTCACTTATCACCACAAACTACTTCAGCTTCATACGGCACATTGTAAGTTTTGGTAAACACGCAATTCAAATACTGCAAATCTGCCTGCTTAATGAGTAACTTTGCTCACAAGTCATCGCACCTTCCTTCGTTTTCTTCAACAGGACGTATCAATATCAAGTGATGATAAAAGCATCAGAATTCGCAAACCTATACCAAAGTAAACTACAAACTGTTATTAATTCCAGTTTCTTTAAACCATTCCTAGCTATAGCTGTCATAATGGCTCATCCGATTTATATGACAATGTTGTTGTTGTGTGTGTGATGTAGAAACCTTCTAAAGAAGCTGAAAGAAGAAAGATCAGATGTCACATTTGTAGAGGAATCTAAGATCAGCGATCATCATAGGTTATTTTTGTTACTTATGCTTTTAAAATTCAAAATAATTATTATATAATCATGAGTTTAATGGTTGTGTTGTGTGTTTGTAAAGTTTAGATAAAAGATTTCTTTAATTAGAGGAAATGCTTTTCTGTAAGAGACCATAGATATATACTTAATATTGTTTCCGATTCTCTGCAGGGAACTCATGATAATGAAAAGCCGATATTTGAGCTTATTAAAGAAATCAAGAAGCTGATTTGTCAAGGATAGGATACTGTCTGCAGAGTTGGAGAAGCCAGAGAATAATACTGAGACCTGTTATATTATTTATTATTTTACTCGGAAATTTGTTAGAAATTTTACCTTTTAAAAAAACTCGCTAAAACTATTCAATCGAGAAATTGTTGGTGAAAAAGTTGTTAGAAATAGTTTTTTTCAACGAATTTGTGACAATATAATTCAAAAACAACTTACGATGATTGCATACAACACATATAGAAGTTGGGGAAGAAGTACCAATTTTACGATTCATCTAATTAGTATTCTTGCTCTACACGTAATCATCTCTTTTTTATTATCAAAACTATAATATATTTATAGACATTTTTTATTTGAAAATAAAATATAATGTGTAATTGTTTCTTATTTTTATTTATAAAATTATAAGTCTTAAATAAAATCATAGTAATGACTAATGACACCTATCGAATTATCTAATTTTGACGTGCATATGTTTGATTTATAGAATAATTTTTTTAATAAGTTCTTGGTGTTTTGTTTTTTTTTTTCTTATAATTTCTATAGTTCTTCTTTATTTAAGATTTATGTGTTCAAATATTTAGTTTTTGTTTAAATGTCTCATTAAAGTTATGTACCTATACATATATAATATGTGATTTATGTTTATTCACATTTAATTTTGTTACGATATGGCAATAATCGTGTAAAGATACGTCTTTCTTCTTTACTAGGTCTTCTACAAATTTTAGCTTATATCTTTATTAATTCAGTTTACCATTAAGATATGTTTTATTTGCAGTCTACGTACTATTTGATAATTTGGTTTTAAGATATATAGGATAGTGTGGAGTATTCACATTATTTTTACTGTTTTTATCTTTTGTGTGTTTTATTCATATTTTGATTTGGATAGTTTATCTAGATATTTTAATTTGAATTTTATTTAGAACTTTGTTATACTTTATTATTTAAATAAATTTGTAGGAAGTGTTACTTATGTATTGTTCATGTTGGCTCAGTTATATGTAGTAGCTATGTATAAAAACCAGACTTTATAATTTGTTATATTTTGAATGTATTTTCTTTGTTAGTTTTCAAACCAGATGCAGTCAAAGTATTACTCTTTGTAAATATAAATAATAGATTTGATTTAGAAACTCGTATAGCCACATCTTTAGATGGTTATTCATAGTCAATACCACTATTTTAGAAATTAGAAATTTTTTGAAACTCTAATTCAAACTAATTTTCTTTTTAGATTTTGTTTTTTTTATTACTTATATCTTTTTGATATTATTTTATATTTTTATTTTAGTTTTTACAATTTTTACAAGAAAATACAACGTTTTTCGTTAGCAAGGTCTTGCTCATCGATGACTATTATTAAAGTAATCATCTTAAAAAGTTTGATTAAAGGAATCAGAGAATCAATTAAAGTAGTGTTTGTATTAATTCAGGCCAAGTAAGACTTATCGTGCGTGTGATGAAGTGGATGAAGAAGAGTTGAGGCTCATAGAGATGTTGGTAGAAGTCGAGAACGATAGAGTGGATGAAGATTACTATGACTCTGACTTTGAGAATGAGGATGGTGCAAGTGAAGATGACACGGAAGAGGATGAGAATCTTTATTGACGATGAGAGTCGTCGAATATGTTTTAAGTTTTAACGAAGATCAATTGTGGTTTAGCATAAATAGTATATGGTTTGTCTGCTATCCAAAAATATCCGGTACGACCGGTTTACTCTCCCTGATCCGTTTTAAATCTTTAAAACTGTTATAGGGGCTATATATTGGTAGACTTCTGTGTCACATT